AAAAAAGTTTAAAACAAATAGCAGTGCCTGGGTCTCACCCTCAGACTGAGTTAACTGGTCTGAGGTGGGGGCTAGGTAACAGTATTTTTAAAGTTACATTTATACACAAACACATACAGTTATGTATCAACTGTGCCTTTGTAGTTAACCATTCCCCCATTCCCAGGCAACTACTCATCTGTTCTCTGCCCTATCTAGGCTTGCCTTTGCCAGAATGTAATATATATACATTTATATATGACCCTTTTGAGTCTAGCTTCTTTCACTTAAGGTAATGCCTTTAAGATTCAGCCTTGTTGTTGTACTATCAGTAGTTTGTTTTTTATTGTTGAGTAGTATTGAGGGTATGGATGGACCACAGTTTATCCATTCCCTAGGTGTGTTTCCCAGTTTTTGGTGATTATGAATAAAGTCACTATAAACATTATGTACACGTTTTCGTGAGAAAATAAGTTTTCACTAATCTTGGGTAAATACCTAGAAATAGGATCACTAGGTAAGCATACAAATACTTAACTCAAAGAAACCACCAAACTGTTTTTCAAATTAGGGGTACCATTTTGTATTCCCACTTGCAATGTTTAAGAGTTCCAGTTACTCTGCATGCTCACTAGTCCATGCTATTGAGTTTCATTTTAGCAATTCTTTTTTTTTTTTCCTTTTTGTCTTTTTTCGTGACCGGCAACAGATCGCAACCCTCAGTGTCGCGCCCGTACCGGACTGGGACCGGCAACGGGATCGCAACCCTCGGTGTTGCTCCCGCACCGCGCTCAGCCAGTGAGCGGCCGGTCTGTATGTGGGATCCGAACCCTCGGCGGGAGCGCCGCCGCACTCCCAAGCAGCGCACTATAGCAGTGCACCACCGGGCCGGCCCCATTTTAGCAATTCTAATAGGTATGTACCAGTCAATACTTTTTTTAAAAAAAGCTCTTTACTTGGGCCGGCCCGTGGCTCACTCGGGAGAGTGCGGTGCTGATAACACCAAGGCCCCGGGTTCAGATCCCATATAAGGATGGCTGGTTTGCTCACTGGCTGAGCGTGGTGCTGACAACACCAAGTCAAGGGTTAAGATCCCCTTACTGGTCATCTTTTAAAAAATAAATAAATAAATAAATAAATAAAGCTCTTTACTAAAGCACAACACACAAACATAAAAGTGTACAAATCATAAATGTAATAGATGAATAATCACAAAGTGAACATCTCAGTGTATCTACCACAAGGTTTAAAAAACAAAATAAAACAAAACATTATCAGCATCCCAGAAACTACCTTGTGCCTCCTCCTACTCAGTAACTTCCCTCTCCTCTCCAGTAAGGTGACTGCCTTAACAGCACATGTTAGTTTTGCCTCTTTTGAACATTATATAAATGGCATCACATAATATGTATTCTCTTGTATCTGTCTTCTTTCACTCAATATTATGTCTGTGTGATTTACCCATATTGCTGGATACAGTAGTAGTTCATACGTGTCCATTACAGCATATTGTTTCACTCTAAGAATATTAAACAGTTTATTTATTCATTTTAATGTTGATGAACATTTGGGTTGTTTCCCTGGGCGTAAAAATACTGTGTCATGAGCTATACATATGTTCAACTTAAATAAATAATGCCAAACAATTTCCTAAAGTATTTATACCAATTCACACTCCCACCAGAAGAGTAAGAGAGTTCCAGTTGCTCCATATCCTTGCCAATACCTGGCATTGCCACTCTTTTTAATTTTGGCTACTCTGGTGAATGTGTAGTGGTATTCCATCATGGTTTTAATTTGCATTTCTCTGACAATTAATGAGATTGAGCAACTTTTCATAAATATTGAACATTTGGATACAATCTTTCATGTTCTTGTCTCTTGCCCATTTTAAAAATTGGGTTACACCTGTCTTCTTCTTATTGATTTGGAGTTCTGTATATAACTGAGTATAAGTCCTTCATTGGTTATGTCTAGCAAACATTTTCTACTTTAAGTTTGCTTTTCACTCTCTTAATGGTGTCTTCTGATAAATGGAATTTCTTAATTTTATTGTACAGTTGTCCCTCAGTATCTATAGGGGATTGGTTCCAGTACTCCCTCACATACCAAAATTCAAGGATGCTCAAGTCCCTTTTATAAAATGGGGTAGTATTTGCCTAACCTATGCACATCCTCCTGTATACTTTAAATCATCTCTAGAGTACTTATAATAATATCTACTACAATGTAAATGCTATGTAAATAGCTGTTATACTGTATTTTTAAAATTTGTATTTTTTTATTGTTTTTTTCCCTGAATATTTTCAATCTGTCGTTGTTGAATCCATGGATGCAGAAACTTGCAGATATACAAGGCCAACTGTACCACCATCACTACTTTTAAAAAGTATCCCAGGATGACCGGTGCGCTCACAGCGCTCACTGGCTGAGCGCGGTGCGGCCGGTCTCAAAAAGGACAAAAAAAAAAAAAATATTCCAGGTAAGGGCAAAAACAGGAAACAGGGCTGAGAACTACTGCTCTAGCTGCTGAAAGACCAGAAGCTGAACTGTCCCAAGCAGCAAGGTTTGCTCACACAGGATATACTCAAAGAGACTTCAATGCCAGAGCTTGAAGGATGAAAGTATAAATCACCAGGAGGCAGGTGAACAGCAACAGGAAGCGGGGAGGAGGACGGGAAAGTTTCAAATAAGAAATATCAGGGCCTCTATAGGCATTTCAGATTGTAACTTTGAAACAACTGATTTTCCGAAAAAGCCGGATACCAATAAAAAGGATAGACCATCTGAACAGCTTCTTAATTAACTGAAACATGCACAACTAAAACCATCCTCATATTTTGTGTGCAGGGTTAGTTGTCCTCCAAGATTGTTGCTTTTTTTTTTTTTTTTATGACTAATTTCAAACCAAAATTGCATTGGTTGCAATTTTTATACCTATACTTAAGCTCTCACTTTCTGGCCATTCCAGAGATGAGACCATTTTATAAGGAGAGAATAAAAATTCTGGGTTTGAATTATCACAAACCTCTATCTCTTGAAAGAGACTTGGCAAATGACTTGAAGCATGACCATAACAATAATATCCTGCAGCTGAAATTCAAATCCCTCAGCAGCTGCCATGGCATCACTCCAGGGAGAAGCCACAAAGAAAGGTAGTATCTGTTAAGCCAAAACAATACTTGTAAGAATTGTTCCATCAAAACACCCCCATCACAGCTTCTCTCAAAAATCAGTTACCTTCCAAACTGAACCAAAACGAAGAGGTCTAAACTAATAGTACAGAAAAGACTTGGAAGAACCAGGAAGCTACCTACCTTTCCTCTATATTATCTGACTGAAACCTGAGAAAAGAGGCACATGGTAACAATAGCCCTAGAAGAAAGGGTACAAAGCAAACACTGGAGTGCAAACCCAGAGTGTAGTCGTGATCTGTTGTTGGCACAGGATGCTTCTGTATCCTTGTGATTAACATTTAAGGAACACTAAAATCGGTCAGCTGGTAGCTTCCCAACCCATCAAAATCTGCTAATCCCATAAATGGATCATATCCATACTGTACATAATCAAGGAAAAGAAGCAGTAGAGAAATCACCTCTACAATATTGTCATCCCATTTCTCAGACAGCCAACTCTGATGAGAAAAACTTCTTTTCCTAAGGTGTTTTGATATGTGCTATTACAGAGGTTTTAAAATCTTGCAGCTATATCTTAAAAATGCATAATTAAATTTTTTAAAAAATCACCAAGCTAGTAGAGCAAATCCCTCGTGTCCTTAGTAGAGCAAATCCCTTACTGACATTTGACAATAGGGCATAGCAGAGAGACATGAGAGTTTAAGTCCTGGCTCATTCACTCACTCACCAGTTACACAGGACTTGGGCAAGACAGTTTACATCTCTGGGCCTCACATTCATCTGTGTCCATATAAGGGGTTAAAACAGATAATCTCAGTGCCAATTTCTATTCTGCTCATAGTGCCTTGCTAAAAGTGCTAAACCAATTTACTTAGCATTTATGGTCTCCTTCAACACAGTGCCAACTCAACTTAATTCTAGAGCAAGTTACTTTCTCCAGAAGCTTAAATCTAGTATTTTTATGCATGAAAAATGAGGCTGCTAGGTAGGCCCATGGGTTATCCTCCCTTCTAAAATGCACCTTTTAAATCCTTCCAACCAGAGTGGTAAAGCAGTGTAAAATAGAGTCTGAAGCACACTTCATACTTCCCAAACCTTAACTGTTAACATTAGAGTTTCTTTCATCTCGTAGTCTATATTTTCATTGTATTCCTGGTGCTTGTATATCTGTACTTTAGGTACTTCCTAACTGATAGGTTATATATATTTTTTCATCTTCTTTAGTATATTCATCACTAGACCAGTGGTTTTCAAGTTTGTTTAAAGTAGAAAAACCCTTTATTCAAACAAAATCTTCCCAGAACACCAATATGTAAAACAGGTTAAAAAGAAGGAGAGGGGTGGGAGGCTGGCTGGTTAGCTCAGTTGGTTAGAGCACCTATTATAACACCAAGGTTTGGATCCCTGGACTGGCCACCCACCTCCTGCCAAAAAAAAAAGAGAAAGGAATGGGGGTAGCACTGATTGAAAGGAGTGAGGAAAGGGAGGAGCTAAGGGCAGTGAAGCTCACTTTCTCTCTCCTCCTCTTGTCTCCTGAGGCACAGATACGCTCCAGAAGCTTCAGCAGATTCCCAGGGTCTCTGCACCTACACTTCAAAAGGGCAAGTAACTTAGTCTAGTTTCTAGAATAGGACTTACTGCCCCAATTTCAGTGTTCCCTTCAAGGTAAAAAATTTGACCCAAGTCATTAGAAATTATTCTGGCATAATCTAATTTCCAGCAGCATATAGAAGTGGTTGCCTCTGAAAGAGAATGGGGTAGTTAGGAAAGAACAAGATAAATGTTCAAGTTTTGTATCATGAGTTACACATGAAATAAAGAAAAGTAATTGTAAAATAAATAAAAATTCAGTAAAAGTCATTAAGCTTCTATGAATTCCTGTACCTTGTTGTCTATAATTGTCCACTGGCCCTCAGGATTCTGCTTCAAAACACAGTGGTTTCGAGAAATCATCAGAGGGCAGGTTTTTGAAACCAGTTGGTATGTGACACCAAATCCTCGTCCTACAGTCACCTAGGAAGACAACAACAATATAAGAGACACAACCAGTCATTGTGCTGAAAACAAGAGGTCCTTTACAATCTTGTCAGCCAGCAGTATACAAAGGTCCTGACTTATGAAACTAGACTATGTGGAACCCAAACAGTTTACCTGCTATCTCCTCTTCAGCTGCCACAGAAGCCACCAAGTAGAAGAACAAGGCAAGAAGTTGTGACAAAAAGAGAAAGCTGAAAGGACTTAACCATGAGATCTCAGGGTTGGTAGGACCCTGAAGGTCATATGGTTCAATCACCTATTATTAAGTGGAGGAGTTCCTTTTACCTATCCTCATCAACTCGTCTTAAACACTGCCAAAAACTACAGACTTTTTATAAGTCAGGCCCTCTGGTTCTTTAATGCCTCTGTCTTGGCATCTTCCTCCCCCAAAATTCTATCTGTTGGTCCTAACTCTGCTCTGAGTACCATCAGAAAATCTTCAATTCCCGCCTCCACATCACAGCTATAAAGTGTCTATTTAGTCTTCTCTTCTCCTGGCTGTGTTCCCAGTTACTTCGACCTAACTCCCAGGGCATGAGTTTAAGTCTCTTTTACCATTCTAATGGTTCTGTGAAAACTCCTGGTTTACCTTTATTCCTGGATGCCACATTAAGAAAAATAAATTTAATTTCTATTACACAGTCAATGCAAGTATCACTTTTCTAGTTCTAGATAATATCACTGTAACATATAAATTGCATTAACTTTCATAGCAGTTAATGTATCCTCAGACTTAAAAATGTATCCAGTTAATGTATCCTACCACACTGCCAATGTATCCTCAGACTTAAAAATGATTAAATTTTTTGGTCTCCCCCTCCCCCAAGAATTGCTATGCTAAGTCATGTCTCTTCTGCTCTATACTGGACTAGTTGGAAAAATTTGGATTCAAGTGCAGGACCTTACACTGATTCCCATTAAATTTCATCATGTTAGTTCAGCCTATTACACCAGCTTGTCAAAACCTTTCCGAATTTTTAATCCGCCATCAGATCAGACATACTCAATATTCCTTCCAGCCTTAAGTCATCTGTCAAGTTCATATGATGCCTTCTGTACCTTCATTCAAGACACGGACTCAAATATTGAAATGGCAAGGGTCTCAGGAAAACCTAGTAAACATTCTACCACACAATCTGGGTACATCTTCAACCAGTTATAATTCAATCAAGTCTTTGCACTGAGTCCATATTCTCCATCTTACCCACAAGGACAGTGTGAGAGCTTCCAGAAAAGGTTGAAAATAAGTCCCAATTCACATCATACTTTCCTAATGGATCACTCTAGTTTATAATAACCCTGTGTAGGAAGGAAATGGAATTCTTCTGAGACCCAAGTCTTAGAATTCCCTGCTTATTCTTCTCAGTGCACAGCCACCTCTTTATTTATTTTTTTTTTTTGTTTTTTTGTCTTTTTTCCGTGTCCGGCAACGGATCGCAACCCTCAGTGTTGCCCCCGTACCGGACCGGGGACCGGCAACGGGATTGCAAGCCTCGGTGTTGCTCCCGCGCCTCGCTCAGCCAGTGAGCGGGAGCCGGTCTGTATGTGGGATCCGAACCCTCGGACGGGAGCGCCGCCGCGCTTCCCAAGCGGCGCACTGTAGCAGTGCGCCACCGGGCCGGCCCCACAGCCACCTCTTTAATGACCCAAACTGCAACCTTAGATGGGAACAATAAACCAAAGTCTGTGGTTTTCTAAAAACTGCCCTCTTTGCTCCTTTCAAAAATCTTTCAGAATCCTGCCTGTACTCCTCAGTCCCTCAAAGACTACCATGACTCTCTAAGACCTAATCTAGTCCTCCTCACAAATTCTCATCTCAGTAACTGATACTGCCATCTAAACCAGAAGCCATCTTTGATTCATCTCTGTCCCTCATCCCCACATTTAAACTATCAGCAATTCTACTGGCTATAATTCAAATATGTCCTAAATCTGTTCACTTGTACGTCTATGACCACTACTTTAGGTCAGATTGCCTGTCTTCACATAGTAGCTGGAATGGTGGTGTAAAAATTTTAAATCAGATCATTTCCATTATTTCCTTAAAACCTTTTAGAGACCCAAACTTCTTCCCATAGCCTATAAGGCTCTGAATGTCCTGAGCTCCTCCACCTCTTTAGTTTCATCTCATACCATGGTGCCAACACTAGCTGCTTCAGCCACTCAAGTTTCTCTTTTTCCTTAACCCCCTCCCCCAAGTTCCAGCCTACTTGAGGGCCTTTTCACTTGTCCCCTCTGCTTAGAATACTCTTCTCTCAGACCTTGCATGGGCTCCTTCTCACCTTTCAAGTTTCAGCTCCTCAGAGGCCTATACCGTTTATCCTTATCTATAGCTGCTATCTGCTTCCACCCATCACATTTCTTCATGTTATTAGCACGTACCTATCACAATCCAAAGTGGGGCTGGCTGGTTAGCTCGGTTGGTTAGAGTGCAGCGTTATGCAGCGTTATGATAACCAAGGTCATGGGTTCAGGTACGTGTGTACAAACACACACACACACACACACACACACCCTTATTTCTCTCCGTTACTAGATGGGCAGGAACTTTATCTTAAGTTGAAATGCATTTAATATACCTAACCTAAGCTGTCCAGCATCACAAGGGAGTATCATACCGCATATCACTAGCTTGGGAAAAGATCAAAATTCAAAATTCGAAGTATGGTTTCTACTGAATGCATATCACTTCTGCAACATCATAAAGTCAAAAAATTATAAGATGAACCATCAAAAGCTGAAGACTATCTGAAAGAGATCTTGGCTATGGGTTCTCTCAGATACCAGCATGGGCATTTTTTAGGTCAGAAGTTGGAAAATGGATTATCACTACTGGAAAATACAGAACAGCAGCTAGGAACTCTTACAATCTGACTTGATTCGCTTTAAAATCTTGTGGTGGCCACCTCCACCAAAACGCTGAGTCTGAAGTTTTTCAGTTCTTTGATAGTTTACCAGAAATTCCGTTAATTACAGAAGTCCCTCTGAATTAATAGGTTTATCCTTTAAAAAATGGAATTTTAGGATTTATCTGTCTCCCATATTCAGTAAGAATTTCCACTTAGATAGCTTTTTTTCTAAGGGAGGAAATATTCCATATTCCACTTTATTATTTTTTATTTATTTATTTATTTTAAAGATGACCAGTAAGTGGATCTTAACCCTTGACTTGGTGCTGTCAGCACCACGCTCTCTGAAGTGAGCTAACCAGCCATCCTTATATAGGGATCCGAACCCATGGCCTTGGTGTTATCAGCACCACAGTCTCCCAAGTGAGCCACGGGCCGGCCCTGCATATTCCACTTTAATACTTGAGGTGAGACAGCCAGACTGACTGGGGAAAATAGTACAGAAAAAGTAGAAGAGTACCTTTTTCTGAAATTGCCTCCTATACGCTTTGAATCCAGAAAAAGAAGGAAACATTCTTTTTCATCCTTCCCTTCACTGTCTGGTCCTAGAATTTACCTTGATATTACTGATATTTTACCTGTAACACAGTTAAAGGGTGTAATGAGCTTATATGAAATCTCAGCACCACTCATAACATAAAACTAAATTCCACACGGGAACTGAGTACCAATGTTGGGAGTTGTTTCCATTTACAACAGTTTTGTAGGCCTTTGGGCTTACTGACATTACTGATCTAGAAGATCATCTTGTCCTTGGCCACCTTCACTAATGCAATTGCTTTCCTACTGGATATAACTCTTTCCATTTTCCAAATGACCAGTAAATACTCTAGAACCATCCTTTCCTTTCCCAATCCCCTTAGGGCAGAAAGCTTCATGAAAACCAAATACAAGAGAAGAAAAAGGGTAAAAAGGAGATTTCTATGGCTTTTCCCAAAGGCCGAGATACTTTTAGGGCCTGGGGACTAGCTAATTTACAATAAATAAATCTCTACTTATTTGTTGTTCCATGAACTCTCTGGATCAGTTTAAGAATGTCAAAGACACGCATTCAGACTATTTACTACAGTATTCCTATCAATGAAGTGAGAGGAACGCTGTTCTAATATTTCATTTCCAATCTGAGACTTTGAGGGGCACTGGAAAGGCAGGGAATTGACCTTACTTTGCTGTTATAATTAAATGACATCAGTACACCTCCTAAAACAAACCAGCTTCTGTACAGTTTGAGACCATTACAACGAGTAAGATTTCATCTCTTGGCTTTGATTCAGACCTCTCTTCATACACACTGCAGGTTATGCTCCAACTACTGCCTAAGACTTGACCTTGCATATAGCCAGGCCTGGCAGGCCTCTCCTCCACACGAGGCCAGTATGGAGTCTTCCCAGTATGTCTTGGCCCCACACCAAGCTATGGAATGGTTTAGAATATGTCTAGGAGTGCTTCATAGTCTTCTTGCCTTTGCTACAGGCACTTTAATTCTCTCTCCCCATCCTCCCTCCCCAAGACTCCAGTGCTACTAAGCTATTCAGAAGTAATTAATACGTAGCAACTGAATCTAAAAGAATGAGTTAACACTTGACCTCTAAGCTACCTCAAAGGATGATTGTGTGTTGAGAGTGTAGTGCATGTGCAGGGATCCGATTAAGTAATGAATGTGAAATAAATTATAGTTATACACAATAACAAGTTATTTTTATAAATAACTACATTATTCAAATATTAGGGTCTTAATTCATTAAACTTCTGAAAAGTATATGCTTTTGGGAAGGGCTACACAGGGACAGTGCTCAAACTAAAAGGATGAATGCCTAATGTGGACTTGCACGCACTAACACCTAGATAGAAGAAATATTTCAAGGCAGAGACGTGTCTTCCTGGTTGTATTAGTCCATTTTGTGTTGCTTATAACAAAATACCTGGATCTGGGTGATGTATAAAGAAAAACGACATCTACTGCTTACAGTTTCTGAGGCTGGGAAGTCCAAGGTCCGTCTGGTGGTGGCAACAGTGACCCAGGGGTCTCAAATCGCAAGATGGTGAAAGCAGAGAGAACAGAGAGAGCAGAGAAAGGCAGACTCCTCTTCTTTTAGAGGGTGGACCTGAATTCCTCCTTGACTTGAAGAATCACCGCTTTAGGATAGTACTAAATCCACTTCTCGGCACTCGGTCATATAACCCACATTGATGTTCTCAAAGTGCTTCGGCGTATACATCCTCTTTCCCCATTCAAGCCATAAACTCTTTGAGTGCAGAAGTTACTATTTGTCCCTCTCATAGTACACCAAACAAGGTAAGTACTCAATAAATAGCTCCTGAATTTACACTGAATTCAGACTGTATGGTTTACAGAAAAAAATCTAACTAAACATACAAAATAATCAAGACTTTCTTTAATCTACAACGTAATGACCAACCACCCAGTTTTACTGCAAAGGAAACCTTTCATGCGAATTATTTCCAAAACCCAAACGGTTCTCAGTCACAAGCTTGTCCCTGACCCAGTTCTCCTTCCCAGGCTGACTGCAATCTAACTCTCTCTCCCCAGTCTTCCTTCACCCTCTGAGAATCACCACCCCAGTCCTAGCGGCCCCCAACTGGAACCGCGCCTCAACTTTCCTTCTTAAAATGTTTGTATTTATGACTGCATTAACAAAGATGATAAGCAGCTTCTGGAAGGAACTCCGAATCCCTACCTCCGACCCAACTCAGGGGGTGCCATTCGGCAGTACCGAGACTCACAGGATAAATGTGGCCCATCCCAAACAACTCATTTTTCCAAAGAGTTGGAAAGGAGAAATCATTTTTATATTAAATTTCAGTATTTTAGGGGATATAACCCCAAACTCGCAATCGTTTTCAAAATAAACTCGAGAAAGTTCACTCCCTCGGCAGCCCTTCCAGGCTCCGCCTAGGACCCTCGGCGGTTCGCGTCGTTAGTCGAGGCAGCTCCACCTCAGTGCCCCGGTAGGGCGCCGCAGGACTCCATGAGACCCAAACGGGGGCTGTCACAGACCCCTGCCGCTACTTCTCGAAATCCCAGCTTCTCCTCACATCCTCTGCACGCCCCTTTCGCTATGCCCCTTCCTGCAACCCCAACTCCTGCTCCAGCTCGCCCCCCAGGCTCAGGCCTCTTTCAAAGGGGCCATTTTATCCCGGCTCCCTCGAGCCAGGTCTTCTGTCCCCACCCCGCCCCCTGTAGCCCTCCAGGTCTCCCCCAAGCCGAACCCTATTTTCTTCCTTTCTCCCCTCGGTCCCTATTTCCCCCAAAACACCTACCACCTCAGACCCCTCAACCGCTCGCACCAGAACCCCTTTCTTCCTTCAAATCGCTCCTCTTCCCTCCTCGCACTCACCTTTTTTATTCACCCCGCCCACCCTGGCGTCTTCGCTCCCTTCCCGCCACTCCTTCCTCCAACCCCCTTCCCTCGCCCCAACAGGACCCCTCCCCGCTCACCTCGCGCCCGTCCTCCAGCAGCAGCCATTCGGCGTTCATCCCCACTCGCCGCAAGCACCAGCTCCGGCCACGGGCGCGGTCTCCGGTGACCAAGGAGCCAGGCTCCCCCATAGCCCACTCAGCCCGGGTTGGCGGTTAGCACCGAGCGAGACCCCGACCCCGGTTCCGGCTTCCCGTTTGCTTCCTCTCGGGCGCCATACATCAACAACAGACAGAAGCAATCGCCGAGCGCTCGCGATCGATGCGAACACACGCTCTGGCCGCCGGCCCAGGCCGCCCCAACTGGGACGCCGGAGCACTGCGCCTGCGCGGCAGGAGGCCCGGGCTGTGAGGAAGCTCCGCGCAGACCCGCGGCGGGAGGGCCTCGCAGCGCCCTGACTCTCCCTCTCTAGAACCAGCACCCTGGTCGTGTCCGCCCCACGCTGGAACCTCTCCTCACCTTTCCTCGTCTTTTAAAATTTCGCCTTATGATCGCGTTGTGATGATAGCCATCTTATTTAAAACTATGGCCCAGTTCTAAACAACTTTCAAACTTTTGCTAATTTTAAGTCTGTATAGTCTGTTCCTAAATAGCTTCTATTTTGCGCGACCTCCGTTTCTTTTTTGTTGTTGTTGTTTGTTTGTTTTTTGGTTTTTTTTTGTGACCGGTAAGGGGATCGTAACCCTTGGGGTGGTGTCGCCCGCACCGGGCTCAGCCAGTGAGCGCACCGGCCATCCCTATATAGGATCCGAACCTGCGGCCTGGGCGCTCCCAGCGCCGCACTCTCCTGAGTGAGCCACGGGTTAGGTGACCTCCGTTTCTGTAGAGACCAAAAACAGTTACCTGGGGTTAGATGTGGGGGGTGGGGATGGGGATTGGATGCAAAAAGACTGGGAGGAATTTCGGGGGGTGTCAGAAATGTTCTGAAAGTGGACTCTGGCCATGATTGCACAACTGTATAAATTTACTAACAAGTCATTGAAGGCCACCGCGAGTCCCAGCAGCTCCGGCGGCGGGAGGAGCGGCCGCAGTCCGGCAGCCCAGCTCCGCGAGGGCTCCCGGTGCGACTCGGCCTCAGGCGCCCTCCCCGCCGTCGAGATGCCCAAGAGGAAGGTCAGCTCAGCCGAAGCGGAGGCGAAGGGACAGCCCAAGAGGTCGGCGAGGTTGTCAGCTAAACCTGCTCCTGCAAAAATAGAAACGAAGCCAAAAAAAAAAAAAAAAAAAAAAAAAAAAAAAAAAAAAAAAAAGGCAGCAGCAAAGGATAAATTTGAAGACAAGTAAAAACAAAAGGGAAAAACGGGGACAAAGGGAAAACAGGCCGAAGTGGCTAACCAAGAAACTAAAGAAGATTTGCCTGTAGAAAATGGAGAAACTAAAAACGAGGATACTCCAGCCTCGGATGAAGCAGGAGAGAAAGAAGCCAAGTCAGATTAATGGCATATAATATGTCTTATCACTGGTCCCTGTCACCCTTGTACAATCCAGAGGAATATTTTATCAACTATTTTGTAAATGCAAATTTTTTAGTAGTTCTGGAAACATTTTTAAGAAGGAGGGTATCCCACCTTATCCCATGTTTTAAGTGTAAATGCTTTTTCTTGAGAATTGAAATCATTTGCGGCTTGTTTATTTTTTGGTACAACCAGAAAATAGTGGAATATTAAATTATGGGAGGCTTTGTCTTGGGTGTCAGCTTAACATTACATAGATGGGTGGATAGTTTTTATATGCTAGAATACAAAGCATACTAAATGGTAATTTGGAGTCACAGTTGTGTATTTAATGTGTCTTGAACATTTAAAATTATTTCTATTCCCATTGTTGTTTTTTAGTAAAATTGTTTCTTAAAGATAACCAGTCCTTAATTGTTGCTCTCTGTTAGAATTGTGTGCACTCTGTAACATCTTTGGTCGTGGTAGTCCAGTTTTCCTAATAATTTTGTTAATGTGTTATGAATGATTAAAAATTTGAGTATGTAGTGTATATGATATTAAGTTGTGAATTGGTGGGAGTGTTGTAACGGCTTACCAATATCTGGAGATACTGGTACTTGGTATCTTCCTAAGAAAAATTTGCCTCCAAATTTGAGGCTGGAGTAACTTAAAAAAAAAAAAAATCACAGTACATGGCTATGTTTTTTAATGTATTTATTTATTTTTATTTTTTATTTTAACTTCTCAATATACATTATAGTTGATTTTCATGACCCTTTACCAGTTCCTCTTCCCCACTTCCTCTCTCCCCTCCCTGCCTTACATAATATCTGTTCACTTGTCTTAAAAAGTTCAAGGAATTGTTGTGATTGTTGTGTCTTCTCCCCCCACCACACCCTTTGTTTGTGTTTATTTATTTATTTATTTTTAGCTCCCACAAATAAGTGAGAACATGTGATATTTCTCTTTCTGTGCCTGACTTGTTTCACTTAATATAACTTTCTCTATGTCAATCCATGTTGTTGCGAATGGTAGTATTTCATTCTTTTTTATAACAGAGTAGAATTCCATTGTGTAGATACACCACAGTTTCCTTATCCATTCATCTGATGATGGACATTTGGGCTGGTTCTGTACGTGGCTTTTTAGAATTTCGGTACATATGGTAAGAATTGTGTACAAATTGAAATGTCTGTGTAATGATCCTCAACACAACCAATAAAATCTTGATTACAAAACAAAAGTCACTGAAGTGCACCCTTCCAATGGGTGAATTTTATGCTATGTAAATTATCCTCAAAAAGATCTTAATTTAAAAATTAAAAATAGCTCTACCTCTTCCTTTGGATTTTCCAGTATAGTGTGATAGCTGCTACTTGTAGTGACTATCTCTGGTAACTCAATGCTCCCTTTTGTCTTTTCAGTTTTCCAGTGCCTGGTCAATGATTTTCATATATTAAATTCTATCAGGAGAAAATATATGCACTAAATGAATCATAAAAAGTACAATAGTAAATGGCTAACATTTATTGAGAGCTAATACTAGGCCAAGCATCCTATATACTTTATCTTATTTGTCCCTCACAAACAATATAATGATGTTGGTTATGATTATAATTCCTACTTTAGGGAAGATGAAAAAGAGTCACAGAGAGGTTTAGTAATCTTCCCAAAGTAACAAATTAAATGGTGGAGTAGTATACCAAGTGAGGTCTATTTCCAAAGCCTAATTTCCTAATGATGGTTGCAACCCTAGCCTGGAGTGTTTTATCATGTGTGACACTGCCAGATCAGTAACTACAGCCTGTGATGTCACAGAAGGTCGAGAAATTTGGTGGAAGCTATAGCCGCATTCATGGAGATGCTTCCCTGAGCTCTGCAGGGGTGTGTTGGTGCCCCCGTCCCACACTAGCATTCTGTCCCAAGAACAGCGAGTGTGTAGAGGCCATCCTGACATTTAGTCTGTGTGTCTCCTTGGGCTCCTCTTAATTGTGACAGATTCTCAGACTGTCCTTGTTTTTGATGACCTTGACAATTTGAAGAGTACGAGCCAGATATTTTTGTTTTGTTTTGGCAGATGGCTGGTTCAGGGATCCAAACCTTTGACCCTGCTGTTACCAACAACACCCTCTAACCAACTAAGCTAACTGGCCAGGCCCTGGACAGATATTTTGTAGAATGTCACTCAATTGGGGCTTGTTTGATGTTTTTCTCATGATGAGACTGGGGTTATGGGTTTTAGGGAGGAAGACCACAGAGGTAAAGTGCCCTTCTCACCACATCATATCAAGGGTACATGCTATCAACATGAATTGTCACTGTTGATGTTGACCTTGATCACCCAGCTGATGTAGTGTTTGTCAGGTTTCTCCATTGTAAACTTACTCTTTTTCCCCAGTTCCATACTGTACTCTTTGAAAGGAAGTCACTATTTACAGCCCATACTTAAGGTGTGGGGCGTTATGCCCCATTTCCTTAAGGGCAGGGTATCTACATAAACTATTTGGAATTATTCTGCAGAGGGTTTGACTCTTCTCCCCTATTTATTTATTTGATTATTTATTTATGTCGGTATGAAACCATGGATATTTATTTTATACTTTGGGTTACAATCCAGTACTGCTTTATTTTATCACTTAAATTATTCCTATTTTGGCCATTGAGAGTTCTTTTAGTTGGCTATAGTATCCCTCTGATGTACTCCCACCACTGTGTTTTATTGAGCACTTCCTTACTTTCTGACACAAGATGCCCTTGACCTAGAATCAGCCATTTCTCTAAGAAGCCCTGGTTCCTTTAATTAGAAAATGGTATTAGAAACCAAGATCTAGGCGCTAGGTATGTTCATTGCTACTGAGATGTTATTGCTTCTAGGCCCTCTCAGCTGTCAGAGTGAGTAAATATATGGGTGAATACTAACTAACCACCACCCAAGACCATTTTTTTTTTGGTGGCTGGCCGGTAAGGAGATCTGAACCCTTGACCTTGGTGTTAACCCTTCTGTATATACATATTTATGAGTATATATGCATATATATGGGTGTGTGTGTGTGCATATGTATCTGTAAGCTAAACATGAATTCGTATTGATGTCTTTCAGCTCTAATCCATTACCACCTGGGTTATTCTAGCCATCCCTGCTTGCTTATTTGTAAACTTCCACTGCAAAAGTGAGAAGCCTGGCTCTCACCATCTGCCATTCCTTTACTTAATCATTCATTTCCAGGATACCTGTACAGTGTTTTTGGAATTGTTAACCCATATACCCACAGAAACAACTTTATTAACTAGAGTACAGTACTTGTATGCAGTCTTACAGATTCCATTCGTTCCCAAAGTTACTTAGGTCAGCACCTTTTTTCCCCACCCCTTCAGAGAGGTCATTTCATACATATGTATTAGTTAGATCCTTTTATCACAGTCTGTATTCTATCTGGGATCCTCTGATCTGCTACATAATTTTTTTTTAAATTTTAGATTAATAGTGACTGATTAACATATACAATAAGGTTAATGTATACAATAAGATTCACTGTTACTGCAAAGTTCTATGGGTTTTAATAATGCATAGTGTGTGTATCCATCATTACAGTATCATAGAGAATAGTTTCATCACCCTAAAAAAATCCTCTGGGTTTTACCTATTCAGTCACATCCCTACCCTGCACTTGCTTGTTTCATTTAACAATATATCCTGGAGATTACTCCATAGTGGTACATACATCTGTATATTCCTCTGTCCTCTTCAAAGCCGTATATTACTCCATTGTGTAGATGTACCGTTGTGTATTCAACCAGTCCCTTATTGATAGGGTTCTTTC